GCCCCTCCCCGGGTAGAGGCGAGTGGGGGTGTGGATGTAGCTCCTCAAGCTTTGCGAGCAGAGGGGTTTCAGAGCGGTTTCTCTAAGGCTCTGCCTGTGAGATAAATGACAAGTCCTGGCTTTGCACTAAGCAGTGCTTTTAGAAAGACTGTGGTTTCCATGATGCTTTCCTTGGATGAAACAAAAAGACAACAGAAGACAAAGTTGGGAATCACCATTTATCGATGAAGGGAGAGGTACAGTAGATTCCTGCCAGCCCCAAAGTCCTTCCGCTGGCTATGAATGGTATTAACTGCTGGAGAAAATTTGACGCTAGCAAAGGAGGACATGCAACCTCTTCGGGATGTACAGGAGACCTCTAAGGGTCATCGTGATGTCTGCCCAACTTCCAGGATCAGAGGGACAGTCCTGACTGGCGCCCCTACCGTCTGCAAGGCGTGGATTCATGGGAGGCTGTCGTGGGGTGTAGGGGTGGCTTTCCCAGCCCTAAGCATGCTCGTGAGGTCTGCAGTGGTCCTGGCATTAGCATGGCTTTCCAGGAGCCCAGAGGCGGAGGCAGGAAATGGCCCAGAGGTCAGGCAGGAAGGAGGCGGGCGGGAAGGAGGCGGGCGGGAAGGCAGAGACAGATGATGCTCCAGCCACTGGGACGGCAAAGCCCAGGCGCAGTTCCTGGGCCTCACCCTGATTCTACTAAATCAGAATGCCTGGGTTGGGTCCCGGAATCTGTGTGCTCCTAGGCTCCAGGTCATTCTGATGCCCGCTAAGGTTTGGAGTCTCTGCTCCTGGTCCTGGCCGCTGAATGTGATTGCAAAGTAGGAGCAGCAACATGGCCTGCAACGTGTGGAGCATCGGGAGTCCCAGGCCCCAGCAGAACTGCTGCGTCAGAATCTGCATTTTAACGAGGTCCGGGGGTGTCAGAGCAGCACAGCTGTGGGCAGAGGGAGCTCCCCAGGCAGGGTTGTGGGGGGCTGGTGTCTGGGAGCACCCCAAGCATTGTGACCTGGCTGCAGGGCAGGGAACCGCAGGCTGCCGTGAACCGTGGGAGGCAGGAGACGTCAGGACAAGCGAGGAGGCTTATTACACGTCATCCTGAGGGCAGGGGGGTCCTTGGAGGTGTTAAGCAGAGGGACCACCCTTAAAATTCAGAAATATATTTCTAGGGTGACGGGACGGCCTGGAGGAGGCCAGCTGGGGCACAGAGACTTGTTGGCGGGTGGGGACCGGGGTCTGATGCAAGGTCTCTAACCTCAGTGCTGTTGCCACTCGGGCTGAATCATCCTTTGCTGCGGGCTGTCTTGTGCACTGTAGGATGATTAGCAGCGTATCTGGTGTCTAGCCCCAGATGCCAGCAGCCCCCAAATGTCTCCAGGCATTTCCGAATGTCTCCCAGGGGAAGGGATGGGGAGGGCAAAATTGTCTCTGGTTGGGAACTGCTGATGTAAGGCAGGCGGAGGGGTGCTCCCCAGCTCCAAGTGGGGGTGTTTGGTAGGTGGAGTCCAGAGACCTGGTAACCCACTGAAATTAGGAGTGTATATACACTCTAAAACAAACACCAGTGTGAAATCGTTGCCACAGCATTGGCAATCTGGAAATATAGACACATTCTGAGACCCAAGTTCAAAGTCAGGTCACATTTGAATGTTTGAGCTACTTCTTTTAATATTTACTTTATCTGAAGGCCTCGATCGAACCAACCTAATGGTTTTAACACTGATGATGACTGATACATGTTTGGGCGAACTGTGCCCCGCTACTCAGGCAAGACCCTTCGGATGCTTAGTGCTCTCATCTGTAAAATGAACAAAAACATGCTATTTACTTCGTAGGAGCAATTGGGATAATTAAGGAGAGCAATTCCATAACTTGGGGACTCTAAACCCTTAGATGCTCAGTGTTGTGTCAAGTCCACAAAACGCCTCTCTGAGGAGCCTCGTAGGGCCTCAGGAAGACACAGATCTTCCCTGGACTCTCTGCCTCTCTTCAGTGACATGTGACTCCTCCACAGTCTGGATGCTCACAGTCCGCCGGGCTGTGTTGAACCACGGGCAGCCTGCTGCGTGCACCTTTCTGCATCTCAGCTCCATCTGAGGTTTGATCAGCCACCACAGTGGAATTCATTGCAGCCAACGTCCTCTGAGCAGCTTTTCAGAGACGCTTATTTGCGTTTTCTGATTATTTTTTTCCTTGATAGCTTTATTCTGGAGATAAATGAATTGGAGGTTTTTGAGAAGTTTATTACTGTTGAACTGTTCAGTAGAAAAAAAAATTTTTTTGGCTTCTCTCAAAGAATTATTGGAATCCTGCCCCATGAATTATGCTTGCAATTCTGGTGACAGAAATAAAAAATTGTAAAATCCTAATTAGCCTTGAGTTAATGCCAAACCAGTGTGTGCTAGTGAAGTAAACAATACTCTGAGAATCAGTTTGCAGATGCACGCTGAGAAGAATAAAAGAATCGTATTCTTCCTCAGTTCTGTTTTGAGTCCCGAAGTGGTGGTCAAGGGTTTTAAGTGGTGTTTCAGTCTCTCGTTCAATGACTCAAGCAGGTGAGGTGAACTGGCTCCAGCTGGACTTTAATTATTCACTGAATTAAATAATGATTGGCAGTGCAGACACGGTGATTGATTAATCAATTGTGTAGAAATGGCAGCTTATTGCCATGTAACATGTACCAGCTTCGTACATCAAAACCCAGATGCCCCCGCAAAATCAGGTTGCCAAATAATATATTGCACTGAACATACTTACACTAAAAAAATTATTCATCGTTTATCTGAAATTCAAATTTAATTGGGCACCCTCTGTTTTTATCTGCTAAGTCTGGCAACTGAGCATTAAGGAATCTTTCTTCCCTTCATTTTCATGTTGCCAAATCAATACTACCTTAACTAGTAGTGAACTGGGATGAATGATGAGCTAGCAGCAGGGAGAAGCCAAGGACAGGAGCCCTGCCCTCTCATCCCTGATGAAAGCTCCTCGCCGCGGGGGCCTCTAGCATCGAGGGAGATGCCGTTCTTGGAAGATCTGCTTTCCGCCTTCCTTTTTAACGGGGGCTGATTTGTGACTAGGGCTGAAGTCAAATGCTTGACTCCATGATGACTGATTTGAACGAAACATTGTGTCTGTTGAATCGCAGTCTTATTGCAAAGAGGACAAATTAGGGAGAGGAACAATGACGGTGATGATTTTCCTAGCATTTCCTGAGTGAGTGCTCGATAAGCCCCGGGCAAGATACCAGGTGCTTCACGCCCATCGACTGGATGCGTTTCACGTCCATGCTTCGAGAGAGGACACTATGGTTGTCCCTAGCTTACTGACAGGGTTGCTGAGGCTCAGCCTAAGGTCACGTAGGTAGAAAGTGGAAGAGGGAAGGATATACAGCCTCCCAGAACAGTCTACCACAGAGCGGAGGGGCTCAGCAGAGGGCCGGAGGACACTTGGGAACTCCAGGAGGCATTTTTGTTTGTCATGACTGGGGAGGGGTGGATGGCGCTGCTGGCATCCGGTGGGCGGAGGACAGGGATACGGCCGAACACCCTACAACACACAGGCCAGTGTCATCCAGCCCAGCATGTCAGTAGTGCCGAGGGTAAGAAATGCCGCCGTGGAGAGAAGGGAGGAGACAAAGGGGAAGGAGCTCATTTTCCGGCTTCAATCCCAATTCAACTGCGGGGCGCTGTGGGCGCGTATCCGGAATGAGGGTGCAGGGGCCCGGGGAGGTGGCGGCGCCCAGGAAGACGCTGGCATCCTACCCGTCGCTGGCTTACCAGAGTCGGGGATCTCTTGACCATCTGTCTTGCCTTCTCCAGTGTAAATTCCCATGGCGCCTGTGGAAACAAAGACAATATTACCGCTTCTGTCTCATCTTTTCTACGTTTTTTTTTTTTTTTCCCCCCCTAAAGTTACGATTTTTAAAAGCTGCGAGTTTGGAACAAAGAACTATTCCATACGTTCGTGATAAAATGATTCACGAGAAAGCGATTTCACGTTCATAGTGATCTTTAGCAAGGGATTCGCTCGGCGCCAGACGCCACGCGAAGTACTTTGTAAATATTATCTTATTTAATCTTCACGCCAGCTCTGCGAGCTATGACCTTTTTTACAGATGAGGAAATTGAGATGCAGAAAAGCTAAGAAACTGGCTGAAGATCACAGAGCCGGTGTCTGGCAGAGACACAGCGTGAACCCCTGCCTTCCTGCCTGCTGATATTTCTAAGCACTAACTTGTCCTTTTGTCTGAAGAGCAAGGTCAAGAGGTGGTCAAAAGCCAGCCTCAGTGCCCTGTGCCACTACTGAGGGACGGCTGACACCATGCGAGGTCACACTCCATCTCTCCTTCACCTCCTCTGGTCCTGGTTAGACATCCCACATCTTTCGACCGTTTCTAAAGCATCTAAGTGCATCTTCTGAATTCACATCGCGAGTATAAAGAGTTAGCTCATTGCTACCAATAACTATGGTTGTGCGAGTCCACATTTGTATATTCGTGGGAGGGCTGGGAGAAAAATAAACCTGGGGGCATGGGGATGAAGAGTATTTCCTCCCAGCACTGCTTCCGGGGCTCTCGTGCCCACCACACGTCCTGGCTCTGACACAGTCCTCCCCCGTCTGCCCCTTGTACGGCCCTGACACAGCACGGGGAGTTGGTTTGCATGCCTGGATTCAAATCCCAGCCCTGCTGCCTGCTAGCTGTGTAGACCTGGAGCGAGTTATTCTCTGAGCCCTTCGGCATCCATGGGATTCCTTAACGTGTTAGAAAGCCCGATTTCTGTCGTTTGCAACATGGGGATGATAGTGGTCTGCCTCACCAGGGTGCTGTGAGTATGATGGGGCATCATTCACGTCATCGCCTAGGCCTGGGTCTGCCCCCATAAGCCCCTGCTCCATAATCGATAGGTTTGTGGAAAACTTCTTTCAGCCCGTTTTCCCGTCACCCAAATCAGTGGGGAAGCCGAGGCGGTTCATGACCACCTCACTTTTGAAACGTGGCATCTTTAACAGAGAGACTGCTGAAGGAATGGCCCTGTTCAAACACTGACCTTACTGAATGCAATTTTGGCTTTTTCTGGAAACTCCAACGAATCCTGGAAATTCTATTGTATCCAGTAAGCATCTCTAGCAGATCTAGTGCCAGTTTCCGTTACGGTGGCCTCTGGGGCTGCCCCATCAGCCTAGGGTTCACTCTCCATTGAAACGAAGGGGGCGTCTGTCTGCCTTAATTATGTGCGTCTTTCTTCTCTGCCCTGGAAATACCACTTTGCATGCCAAGGCCCAGCTCAGGACCTATGGGGCTTCGCACGGCCCTTGTTCCATAGTAGGTACTCCATGGATGTAGAAATAAAAAGCGAAAGAAAACATTGATGATATTATGTCCAGCAAGGAAAACAGGCTACCAGCGTTGACAGAGGCAGGAAAAAAATCCTGCCAAGGAATATGCCATAATAATTGTGGGTGATAACTTTTTCCTTTTGGTTCTTTTCTGTGTTTTTCATATTTTCAATAATAAGCACAAATTCAGCAATAATTGCTTTAAAAAAAAAAAAAGAACTCAACACACGTTGCCCTGTTTCGTATCATTAGAGAAAATGATGCACTCACAGCACAGGGACGTGGGGGAGGGCCCTGCAGATTCGGCTCGGAACAGACATCCTGCCGTCCAGACTTTCCGGGCTGGCAGGAGACAGACCAGGGACGAACACAGTAAGTAGAAGTGAGATGAAGCAGACAGAAGGCCTGGGCAACGTCGTCCTAGGAGAGGACACTTGGATCCCCGCGAGAGAACCAATTTGATTTCAATCCAGCTCAGTTCTGTGTGTGTGTGTGTGTGTATGTGGGGGGGTGGGGATGGGGTAGGTGGGGATGGAGGGTCAGTGTTTAGTGAGGGATAAAGACAAACCAAATGAATTCAGCGGCAAGGGCTGTGCCCAATGCCTTCTGACCCCTAGAGCCGGGGCAGGCTCACCTGGGCTCAGCTTGACCAGAGCACCACATTCTCCCACAGTCCCAGTGCACAAATGCCAGGGTAAGAAAGAGACTCTAGAGAAACGGCTGATCCTTTTTCCCCAGAAAAAAAGACATTTGGGAAAGTTTGCTTTGTCTTAGTGACAGGCAAAGGGGGCAAATAGTAAACAATGAGAAAATGAAGGTGATTCTCTCTCCTTGGTAACCACCTAGTGTTTAAGCCACCATTTCTAAAGTCGGGACCACTCCTTCATCTTCTGAAAATTAAACCTTGAGAACAGAGTGTGCAACTGTAATTGGTGTTTGAAGAGAAGGTTTGGGAAGAGATTACGAGCTGGACAGAAAACTCTCCTGGTTGGAAGCCATAACGACGTTTGTGACTCAGCCAGAGCAGCCACCTGAGGCAGGAGCAGAACGCCCATCAGCAGCGCGGGGCTTAGTTCAGGAAGTGCTCATTTGATCCTGCAATTTGTCATGATCAAATCTTTTCAGCCTCTCGTTACTTTCTCCCTTTGGTTATGTGCTTCCTTATCCCAGCTCCAAATCCCCTTTGAGTCTATTTAACAGCCGTGAGCGGATTGCCAAGGAAGCCATCAGAAGCCCTCCGCCTGCGGCTTATAGTCCAAAGAACCACAGATACGGGTGTTGGGTTTCTCTACGTGAGAACTTGGAAAATTCCCAGGACACTACGGCAGAGCGCCCTGGCAGTTGAAAAGGGGAGAGGCTGATACTTTGCTTGATCTTCAGAGCACGGAGTAGTATATATCCCTGTGTCTCGGGAAGCATTTTTGTCTAGAATGATTTAAGTGTTCCTCTAAACCAGAGCCAGCCCAAAGTCTTCAGACAAAGGCGGAGGCTTGACGACTTTGCTCTTGCTCTCCAGAGTGATGGCGGTGCTTGACTCGGGCTCTGAGCAGAGCGGATGATGGAAGAACCAGGGCCACGCACGTGTTGCCATCAGCTTCATGGGCAAAGGCAGTGCCTGGTGGGCTTCGCCCTCTGCCAAGCGCTGGCCGAGCGGGAGTCCAAGCGAAAGTCAGAAAGTTGTCTGGTTTAGCAGTTTGAATGTGGGTAAAACTTCCACCTTCAGTGGAAGCTCTTTGAATGTATTGATCAGTAAATCATGGTCTCCGTTGTTATTTCTTCTTTAAGGAAAATTTGGACTCTAGAGTGTTTGTGGATTGGAAGCCTAGTTCTGGGACTTCGAACATGTTACTTAAGCACTCTGAGCCTCAGTGTCCTCATCTGCAAAATGGGGATGACAACATTTTTGTGTGTGTGTATGAGGATCGAATGAGATAGTGCTTAGACTAGCGCCTGGCATGCAGTAAGCATCACATTAGCGTTAATAATTAGTGTTTTTATTTTGGGTCGTTTGGTCACCAATAGACAGCTGGAAAAATTACAGTGATTAAAATGGCCTACACAAATGTATGCTAGTTCTCAATGATCTCCAAAACCACCCCAAGGAAAAAGTATTATTTTCCCCCTTTTACAGATGAGAAAACGGAGGCTCGGAAGTTACATAATTTAGCCAGGGCCACTCCGCAAAACATGCTGATGGCATCCAAGTCTCTCGACCCCAACACCCTTCCCACCGCTGCCACACTGTTTTCCAAGAATGAAGTCAACCTCGCACTCTAACACAAGTGAGAACATGTCTTACGAGGTTTCACCGAGGCTTAGGAACATGGCGAGTGCTGACGCACACGGAGTGTGGATGATTTAATGCACAGGATCGCATGGCCATGGGAGAGAACGGGTCTGTACGCCAAGGACTGAAGCCCCCGGTCGGGAATTCATGTGATCCAAGAACAAGTATAGTTACGAGCATATAATTGGGAACGAAAGGAGAAAGAAATATCCATTCCTTTGTGCAATCATTCATTCTATTCACTCCTGTCACAAATACTTATTGAGTTTCTACGTTGCATCATGAATTATATATTAGCTGTATAATAGTGAATGAGACATTATCTATCAAAGGTTTTATAACCTGGGAGAGCAGATTGACAGTAAACTATCATTAGAATACAATGTAGACAGGGTTAAATAATAATTACTATTATCCCTATTTTAATTACTATTATCACCTATTTTATAGATGAGGAAAACTGAGGCTTACTTAGCAGGGAGAAATAACTTGCCCCAAATCAAAGAGCCAACAGGTGGCACAGTCCAGATTCATTTCAGACCTGCTTGGCATAAAAATCTATGCTTTTAACCTTGCTCCGGGAGAGGTAAATAGGTGTGCTAGAGAAGAAAATTACTGTTGTTAAGTTTTAAAAGTCTGGGATATCTGTGAACTAGCCCAATGGGAGAGCCATAACACATATTAGCATATTTAAGGCTTGGAGCCACTTCGTGGTAAGAAATACTATTTAGAAGTGCATGTCCCAAACACTCAGCTGTGTAGTTTAGCCTCTGATGAGAAAACACATAAAGAATTCCGTGTCCAGTGATGCTGGTGAATTGGACAGGACACGGTCACTGCTTGGGCCATCTCAGGTTCTGTGATGCTCACGGATTGAATTCTAGTACACTCAGAAGTGAAGGAAGTAAAGAAAAACAGTGTTTTTAGGCATGAGTTTCTATAGTGAAGCATTTTCAGCGATCATGTTCTCTGCTATCAATTATAGCAGAAATAGATTTGAAAATTACCGAAAGGGCTTTTTGTTCACTTCATGCTTTTGACAGTGGTGACAGGTTCCCACAAAGGAGAAAGCGAGGCCGGGGGAAGAGAAATGATGATTGTAAATGGGTGTTTTTTAAAGGCAGGTATGGGCCGGGCGGGCACGGGAAGATCACTGAATTACTCTAGATCTTTTCTGGAAGTTTTTTAGGACAGGATGTTCCTCACTCCCAG